GGATCGCTTTCGATAATCGCTAGCAAACTTTCAAAGCGCGCATCACACGCTCGACTTGCCCGTTTGCCCCGCTAGACCAGTTTGCTATAAAATGCAGCCCAATGTTACGCTCGAACAAAAGCTCCTGAAATCCTGGCCAACGCAACACCTGCCTTGATCGGCTACTATGCGCTTAGGTGCTCCAAAAGGAAAACGGCATTTTTAACGGCTTGACCGCACTAGCTGCGTCTAACGAAGAGGTGTGCTCTAATAACACGCATTTAGTGAACGCATCAACAATTACCGAACAATACTCCTTACGGTCACTTTTTCCACTTAGTTTGCGGGTGAAGTCTATATGAATCGTCTGCCACGGTACCGGAGCTTTTGGAATAGAATGTAGCTGCACAGGCTGAGCGCCTGAGGGACCCTTCGACGCCTTGCAGACAATGCAAGAGTCATCAAATTTTCTAACGCACACGGACATCTGAGGGAACCAACATTGTTCGTACAGTCTGTCCAGTGTTCCGTCACCACCCAGACGCTGCAACTCGTTATGAACGTGATTGATCAAAGTCCATATTAGGGGAACGAGGGACGACTGGCAGCCATGATATAATCTTTTTCTTACAACCCTCCTATAAAGAACGCCATTCCTAACGTCACATGTCTGACCAACCGTTTCAGGAAAATCGCCATTATTGTGCTTGTTGATCAAGTCGTGAAAGCCAGCCCCGATGTAATTTTACAAAATTTACTGTCTGAATTGTAGGTTTTGAAGAGACTTGTGACTCGGGAAACTAAGCTATTGGGGTCCGGCAGGGGATTTCTAGAAAGGCAATCCGCGTGCTCCATGCCACGACCCTCGCCATATATGATATCGAAATCGTAGGCTTGTAAAAATGCCCACCAGCGATGAACACGTGGGGTCAGGTCAGTTTTAGACTTCGATGCTTTAATGAGTTACAGTCCGTGAAAACCCTGAAACGTCGGCCGTATAAATAATGCCGGAAGTGCTCCACCGCTCGTATGACCGCCAGCGTTTCCAGTTCGTACGAGTGGTAACGGGACTCTACTTCAGAGGCCCGTCAGCTAAAAGGTATTCCACAACATGGGGCAGGTCCTTCTTTTTCTGTATTAAGATCGCCCCATATCCCTCTGAGCCAGCGTCGCAATGCAATTCAACGGGTAGGTCCGGGTTAAAGACTATCAGAACCGGTTCGGAGGTAAGTCCCTGTATAATGGTATTACGGATATGGGCGTCGTTGAACAGTTTATGGGGTAGACCCCCTCAATCAATTTCTAACTCTCCTGTGTTCACGCGTTTAAGGGGAACACCATCCACGAAACTGCAAGCATATTTGTCCAATAGTCTAATAAGGGCATCTCGATCATCAGCTATCAAATCCGTATCTATCCTAGTAAAGTATGGCTGGGTAGCAATCAGTGGGATTTTATATTTCCAAAGTTCATGAAGTATAAATCCACTTTATTTGATTAATTTAAATCAATATTATATCATTAGCTTCTATTATAATTACAATAAAATATATTTAGAACTTCTAATTATGTTCATTAGTGACTGCTTTCTCATCTGAAATATACAAATAAAATGTACAATCATTTTACTTTGTGTTTACATAATATATGCAATATTAAATGGTATATATATTATTCAAATTAAAGAACAATTTCATGAACTTACATGCAATATAAATTAAAAAATAATAAAATATTAATAAAAGATATCATTATAACTAGGATTTACTTCTACTAATTTGCTGATTTTCTTGATATTTTCATATTTATCTGTGTCTATTATGTTATTCTCGGCATTGATTCATAGAAAAACTAAAACTCTTAACCCAAAAATATTAACTTTACTTTAAATTATTTTAATTACAGGAGAACGTTAAAAAGACATAACAAATTAAAACCATTTCATTAAAACGTCAAAATACTTGACATGTTTTTAAAGCGGTAGCCAGTAAGATGGCGATAGTTGTACTGGTGTGCAAGCAAAACGGCTTTTGAGATCCACGCTAAAACATGGCGGAAAAACGCCGTTTTCTACACTGCCGAAACATTAATTGGCCGTTGGCTACCGAATAGCGTAAGCGTTAATGTGTCTTTTTCGTAGCACTGTCATGGCGTCGCTTATTGTATCCCGACTCACGCCTTTAGAGCCTAGGCTACCGACTGTCGACACGAAGTGTCATTTTTATACAAATTGGTTTTCGACTTTCTACATACACTACTGTTAAGCCATTTTGGCTAGACCCCCAATACGTTGGTTCACAATCTTTCAACAGTTTAAAAAATCTCATGAGATAGATTACAATCTGGTATTTACAATTTTACGTCATTTTTTAAAATTCCTCTTTTTAGGATCATATGAAAACCCTTATTCTCTAATAGTTTATTACACTCTTGACGATTTAAGTTAGAAAGAGAAGTCGCTCCAGCTCCATATCATCATCTCCAAGCAACACTAACTCTGGTGGTGTTCCACTAATAAACCTTTACTTGAAGACGGTCATATAAAGGTGCATCTTGCATTACAAAGTTCTTAACTTCTGGCAGACGATTCAAAGAACAGCCTCTGCATGTCTAAAAAATCATGGAGATTATTACTAATAGTATAAGTAATAAAGAGGGTTATTAGGTTGAGTCCTCACCTCAATTTTGGCTGATTTGATATCGGAGAGCATATAAGCAGAGCTAATGGTTATGAAACCTATACAAAAATAAAACTCTCTTAGAAAACTCATGACTACTATTTAAAAAAACACGAATAAGGACTTAAGTCTTAGAGAACACAATAATAGGTGATCACTATGAATTAACGAGTTTGTAACCGCCCACAAATCACAATTACCATCTATCAAGTTCAAGTCACTAGACACTAGACAGTACTTCAAAATTGTGAATTGTGATGGTTTTTTTTTTCTTTATGGCTCTGGCAAGGTTTGTGCATTAGCCAGTGTGATGCAGCTATTTATTTCCCAATGTTACTAGATAATTTTGGCATCTCGTAGTATTTAAGTAAATCAATAAATGTTAGGAATTTTATTATGATCGTACTCTATGGTACACAGATCAAATAAACCCGAACACCGCCCATAGATGATTAAATCAGATTAGATCAGCAGGTGCGTTTTCCAATTACAGCACTAGAGCGCATTTTGCGGCATAATGCTCAACGTCGAGTGTTCCAACTACAGCAACGCTTCGCACAATTGAGCACTCTCAAAACGAATGCTCTCGCGTGCTTCTCGCAAACAATACCAACACAGTGACAGAAAATTGACTAGTATTTTTCTTTGTTGGCATTTATCGAAATTTTCGTTAGTAAATATTATTTATTGTTGAAAATTTGTAAGGCTTTCGTTTCTGTCGTAGATTTTGAAAATAATTAAAGTTATTTCAAACTGCTAAAAAAAAAAAATATTAGTATGGATGATACATATGTAGTTACTTTTTTTATATTCCACATTTAAAATATGAATACAATTTTATTTTAAAATTCGGATCTGTAAACAAATTTATTTTACAGGATTATACTTTAGAAAAATTGCAATGGTTTTGAAAAAGTATATAATTTTTTAGAAATCATTAAAAAATATTACTCAAAACGTAAATGATGTAAACTTCTTACATGAAACTAAATATTTTACTGTTAATTTAGCTTGTTAAAACCTTATATTCTTTAAAGGTTTTCTATTATTTCAATAAAAAAAATGTTAATGAAATAATTTGATGATTAAAGTAAGCGTAAAAAGTTTTCAACCAATTATTATTGTTTACCACATTATTTATACATCAATGAGGTTGCTAACTCAATTCATAACATTTTTTTACAACACTGACTTAGCGCACTCTGCTGATGCATTTGAAAACTAATTCACGTTCCAATTAAGCTTCAGCATTATGCGGCATTGTGCGGCACTGAGTCGAAAAATGCTCTGTAATTGGAAAACGCACTAATTCACACTTCCAATTAAGCTTCAGAATTATGCGGCATTGTGCGGCACTGAGTCGCATAATGCTCTGTAATTGGAAAACGCACCAGATCATCAAGTAGTATGCTACTAAGTACTAATATATTTTAATCTGTAGAGTATTCAGTATAGTATCAGGGTTCACAACCGTCGATAATTATCGTACATTTGCGATAATTTCATAACTACGTACGATGTACGATGGTACATGACTATCGTACGCAGATTGTACGATAATTTCCAGTCTGATAAAAAATTTGATGATTACACAGATAGCCCAATAACAATTACAGTTTTTAGTGTCAGTGCCATCTATTGGCTTATTTTTCTATTAGGAACTTATGCAAGGCAACTACAGCAGATGAACAAAGCGTTAATGTACAAACACAAAAACGCATCAGAATGCACAGCCAAAAAATTCACGATTTGTATGGTGACGCAGATTTGGAAGTCTTCGATAACATTTTAATACCTAACGAATTTTAAGTGATAAAAATAATATGCGATGTAAAATGAACGAGAAAAAAACGTATTTTTGTTCCTCTTTGACGGAAGAGATTGAATTTTTTTTTTTTCAATTTGAAAAACGCAAGTTTACAAGATTTAAACTATAAATCGTTTGCAACATTTTATTTTCACGTTTCATATGATTTTTAAAGTATTTTTAGCAATTTTCCTGACTGTACGATAATTTATCGTATATGCATCACATATACGATAATTTTACGGCCCTGGTACGATAACTGCCTGGCTTCAGGTTGTGAACACTGTATAGTATCAACTTCACACTTCCTTGATTGTTGATCACTTGATCAGTGCACCAATGCTATTTATTATAATTTCATAAAAACATTATTAAGTGTTTATATTTTAAACTCTTGGTTTAAATTTGAATAAGGTGGTCGTTTTAAAAAAATTCGGTACTTGATACTTTAATTTACTTGCCACATTGATGTCAGTAAGAGTGGTGATTAATCGAACGTGAACTGAACCTTCGCTTGGCTAAATGTTTATGCTAAAATGCAAGACGAACACAGGAGAGCTATACAAAACAACTTTGCTTCCCTTGTCGAACAGACTGATTTAGATCACATGGTTTCGACTCTGTATGAAAAAGGAGTATTTTCGGAACAAATGATCGAGCCCTACAAAGTTAGGTGGATTCATTATTTACAAGAAAATATAATAAAAATTTAAAATAATCTTTATAAACTTGTCGTAGGACTTAACTAAGGACGCAAGATCACGCAAACGTTTACTGTATAGGGATATAACAAGGCGAGGTCCTGATGCATTTAGGAATTTATTGGATGCTCTCTCAGATGCTGGTTATTGGGATTTAGTTCGGGATCTTGATCCCAATAGCTCTTTACATACAAGAAGAACCAAAATATCAGCACCAAGCACAAGTAACTAATATATTTAAATTTCTTTTTGTTGACACTTGTTTTCATACTGAATTTTTGTATTAATGAAATTTTTATTTTAGGTATGGCTAATGAAAATGACTATGTTAGTATAAGTACTGAAAAGAAAAGACCAAACCACGAGTTGATGTAAATAAAAGTTGGTAATTAGTCTTTTAAATGTATTTTTTTAAAGTTCAATTTGACAAAATAATTAATGTTTATTTTTAGATGATTCTACACCTATCGCTAAAGATACAACAGATCTTAATATGGTACCTCAGTACAATGTGATTAAGTCAAGCAAATTCTTTGAAGATGGTGAAGGTAAATGTGTAAAGCATATTTAACACACATTATTATAGATTCATATATTATATGTATAATACTTATTTTATGATTTCTTTTCTGACATCCACTTGGTGAACCACAACTTAATATTGTATTGTTACTTTTTTAAATAGTTGATATTTCTGTGAAATGTACAATGTATATGTATTGGTCATGATAAGAATTTGATTATTTAGCTAATTATAGGGATAGTAAAACTAGTGCTATTATTATAGAACTAGAGTGTATTATTGGTTACTGTAGTATATTTTTTTAAATTTTAAGTTAATTTTTCATTAAATTGCATTAATACACAATGGAAATTTTCTGCACAAGCCCAAGCCTATTTTTGATGATAAATTTGTAGAACATTTTATTTTGCATTATCACACATTTGCACATTACCTATAAAAAATAGTGTTTATTGGTGACATTTCACATTGCAGATATAAAGTTATACAACACCCGAGGACATAAGAGAGGAATTATTGTAGTGTTTAGTTACATTGAATTTGTTAACAACATTGAGACATACCGAAAAGGAGTGGATGTTGATTGTCAGAAACTAAAATACTTATTTAGTGAAATGGGCTTTCGAGTAATATCATATGAGAATTTGACCAGAGATGTATGTATGATTTGTTATAGGAATATATATTTAAATATTTTGTTAGAAATTTCCTTCATTACATAGTCATAAGAAGCATGACATAACACATTTTCTTTTATTTTTTACAGGAGACGGTTACAACATTAGAGAATCTAAAAAAAGTAATAGTTGGTGTAGAATGTGTATTCATAGTAGTCTCTTCTCATGGATATGAGCGGAAGTATAGCTCAGATACAGACATTCGCTGTAAAGATGGACAACTCATTACCATTTATGAGATTATTGATTATTTTAATAATAAGAACTTTCCTGCATTGCATGGAATCCCAAAGGTTTTTATCTTTCAGCTATGCAGGTAAGTTTACTAACACTAAACACCATTTGGTGAATTTTTTTTACATTTACAAATGTTTAATATACAATAATAAATATATTTAACTTTATAATTGAATAATGTCAATGGATATGATAAAATATTTGAATAATAATATAATAATGAGGTTGCATTTTTAAGGGGTTCGAATGTGGAATACATTGATGGCCCAATTAGGTTTGTATCACCAGACGATCCAAGCCCTCCAGCCGAAAGCGACGGAAATCCCATGACTGATACTGGTCGCTTCTCCCAAGACACACCTCGCACCCCTCTCAACAAGCGAAATAGACTTTTCTCTGATATTCTAATCGCGCATTCAACACTGCCAGGTATTATTTTTATCTATGGTATTTTTTTTCAACTATATATATTGTAAAAGTATGTCACATTAAAAGTATTGGCATATTGTAGGTAATGTTTCATACAGGGATCCAGAGGAAGGATCATGGTATATTCAGACATTGTGCGAGGTGTTTGCGGCTCGGGCCCATGACTGCCACGTAGATAAGCTATTCACACTCGTCGACCAACACCTACATGAACGATTTCACATACAGACCTCGTCTGTTGACAAATGGGGTTTCAACAAGAGACTCTACCTACATCCTGGTCTCTATCAGGACTGAATATTTGACTGAGTATTTGAATATTATCTGGAGTCTTTAAGTTTAAGTTATTCTTGTATTACAACTTTTATATTAGTTTAACATTGTGTTTTAATGATTTTCTTCTACTGAAAAGGCAGATGTGATATTGCATTTTATACAAGATTATTCTAGTAAATTGATTTTATGTATTGATAAAATCCACAATTAAATGTAGTAATATTCGGAAACTCGTTTCAATGTTCTATTATTATATCTCCCTTTCAACTCCCTAAACACGGTACTGTGTTGTGTGTGTGTGTGGAGGGAAAATGTAATAAGAACCTGTTGGCAATCACAATCGAACAGCCCCCACATATTCCTCTTCTAGCGACTTCGCTTTGCCATAATAAAATCATTCTACTCACGCACTTTCCAGTCGAAGAGAAGAATTATCTGTCAAACTCAAAATACCTTTTTATTTTGTTGAGATTGTGTTGTCGACAGCATCCCTTCAATTAATATATTTCATTTTTTATTAGTAATTTCAGCTTATGCGCTATATATATTATGCCACAACACTGGCAATAAAAACTGGTCATACCTATTTTTAATGTGTGTTCGTCCGATGACTGTTCTACAGTTGCCGTTTTTCTACACAATTTTTAACTGGGGCTATACAGGGTGGCCAAAAAGTCGTGGATCAAACGCAAATAGGGGATAGATGAGGTCATCAGCGGCAAAAAATTGTTCTACGGGAGGTCTCTAAGGTCAACCCCTGCAGAGTTATGATTTATTTTGGTTTTTATATGAAAATTGACTTTTTTTACTAATTCTTATTAAAATTCGAAAAAATCTACATCCTGTATCTTTTTCATAATATCCACTAGATTGGTACTGATGAGTTCTTGCGTTAGACATACTATTTATAGTTGTTTATTGAGTGTATTGAAGATAATATTAAGTTATACGATATAAATTGTTTTCAAATCAAAACTTTTTGTTTATTTCGGACCCCACTGTGAAAAAAATTACTCTACCGAAAAGTGACCCTATATTACAAGTTTTGGCGCATTTAATATGGATTCTGAAAAGGTATTACACATGGCCATAAGTCGCTCTAATATCTTTCTAGGAGGAAAAACAACAACGATTCGGACTTATGATAGATTATTTACCTACCTGTGACCAGTACTGTGTGAATCGGACTAGATTCAAAGAATTGGACAGATGGCTGGAGGGTTACTTAGGAATTTGTTTAGACGGTACAGATTAAGTATTATGGTCAGAGTCAGGAATTTTGAGCATATTTTATTGTAAAATATTTTGTTTCCTACAAACAACCATTGAGAAATAATTGTTTTAATACAATTATTATTTCACAATCGTTGTTTGTAATTCTTCCTAGAAAGATATAAGAGCGACTCATGACCACGTGTAATACCTTTTCAGAATCCCTATTAAATGCGCCAAAACTTGTAGTACACTTTTCGGTGGAGTAATTTTTTTCACAGTGGGGTCCAAAGTAAAGAAAAATTTATGATTTGAAAAAATGTTATATCGTATCACTTAATATTATCTTGAATACACTCAATAAACAACTATAAATAGTATGTCTAACGCAAGAACTCATCAGTACCAATCTAGTGGATATTATGAGAAAGATACAGGACGTAGATATTTTCGAATTTTAAGAAGAATTAGTAAAAAAGTCAATTTTCATATAAAACCAAAATAAATCATAACTCTGCAGGGGTTGACCTTAGAGACCTCCCGTAGAACTATTTTTGCCGCTGATGACCTCATCTATCCCCTATTTGCGTTTGATCCACGACTTTTTGGCCACCCTGTATATATCACCATCTTAACTTGGGTAACATAATTAAATTTTATTTTCATTTGAAAATGAAAGTAATTTATGGCCTAAAGATATCTGTTTGTCTGATTTACGGACATTTTTATTTATCGCGGCAAGATTAAGATCGCTATTATGACTAACATATGCTTGTATTAGTTTTTTTAAACCGAAGAAGTATGAAGGACTTGAGGGCGAATATTTTTATTCACACACACATCCGCGCTATTGAAATGCCGTATGTAGCGACAAGACATGCCAGCATGAGTTTGATTATGTGTTATGCTAGCTAGACTTCACGCTAACCTATAAAATTGTTGACCGCGCTTTGTGCACTATTCTAAGCACGATTATTTGACGATTTTCATTTCACCCTCATCAAGCAATCGCCTCCTTCAATCCATCAATAAATTATTAGAAGACAATTGAGATATTACATTTTTAAAAGCCATTAATCCCTAAAGCTATTTTTAATGCTCTATTTGAATTGAATTTACAATTTAAGTGGCAAGTCGGCTGGTGCCATTGTTGGTTGTAGTTTTTGTGTTCCAAGACGACAGTTAAATTATCAGGTAAGTAGTAAAAATCATTAGAATTACTAAAAAAATAAGTAATTGTCAGCAAATTGATAGTGAGATATTGATTTTATCTCACTCAAAACAATTTTTTGTTACGTACAGTTGCAGACGTAATCGCTTTTTTTTAGCACGCATTGTTCTCATTTATATACGGTTATATAACAAAAAAGCAATATACAATTAAAATCGTATTCAGTTTTATTTTGTAAGTTGAAATTAGACATTAAAATACTGAAAAAGAAATATTTTATCGGTCGGACATGGATGTTGTGAAAATATTAAGTTTGCTATAGTTGAGACGTTCTTGGAAGCAGTACCCTTTTCACTAACCTTCATGAAAGTATCTTTTACATTGTTTCCTCGATTTGTTCTCGCTCTCTAGGTTGTCTTTTATAAATTCTGCATATTTATTTATATTCTCTAACCACCTTTGTATAGGATTAATAAAGGAACTTTGATACAGCCAATTCAAAACAGATGTTTTAGACCACCACGTTTGAAATGTTTTAAAATCGTATGCAACAACACCCCAATACCAATTCTTCTTGGTTTCCCTTTTATCATCAAGATATTTTTGCCAGTTCACACAACACTTTATAAATTGTGAGTCAACATTTTCCTCAACAATAATTTCAGCAATTTGTGCTAAAGTAGTATTAAAAGTTCCGGTTGTAAATACATGTCGGTAGAAGATATTGAGTGGGACGAAATATCGGTTGCAATGCTTCCTCTGGCCACGACAGATTCTAGAGTTGGAAGCCAAACATTTGATACAACCAAAGTTGAAGTGACTAAAGTTATAAAACTGCTCAAATAACTAAAGGTAAGAGTAAAGCAGGCACAGCCGACTGACTTCATCAGCTCACTCATCAAAGTTTTGTTGCATGTAACTGCAAGATCAGTATATGTAAAAAACCCTCTCATCAAAGCCTGCTTCATTGCCACTTGTCTCTCGAGCCATAAAAGTCCACTTTCAAATGTTTTTTCATTAATGTATAAATTCCATTCCTGAAAAGTTCATTTTATTTAAATTACAAGTCTGATAAAGGTCAGTTAAGTTCCAACACTGTCTTTGGAACAGCTAGATATATATTTAATGATCATGATTTATTGGATTGGAAAATTATACTATTGTTTGGGTTTTATCCCAATTAATGTAATATTACAAAAACAATCAGAAAAGGATTAGCCAAGTAACAAATACTGCTGCTATCTATTTTTTTTTACTGTAGGGATTATAAATACATTTGTTTAGATAGAAGTACATTAAAAGAGTACTTACAATAGCATTCAGAAAGTCTGCCTCAAGTTTGTTCAGTTGATGAAGGTCAAGCCCTCCTGAGGCAGCCCATTCTGAACATATCACTTCATCATCTTCACCATCGTCTTGGAGAAACTTGTTACTAACCATCTACAATACATTTTTTGTACTAAATTTTATTCATTTATGAAGTGTTGACTAAATAATAATAATAATATGTTTAAATTACCAAAGAGACTAGAAAGAGATCAGCTGGAGAAGTTGCAGTTAAGTAGTCAGGATTACAAAGTTTAAGTCGCTCTAAATACAGGATTGCAAGAACAAGTGCACACGGTGAAACACAGGCAGAACGAGCAATGCTTGCTGCCTGGTCTGCGTGCAGCCGCCGAACAGAGTGTCCTCTTTGTGCCATTGACCACACCTCACATGATATTTCTGCACAAGAATAGGTCTTAGGGTAAGTTGCGAAATAGATGCAAAAAAGTTAAACACAATAAAATTTTATGTATACATAATCCACATCAAGGATTGTTTTTATCCATTTTTGTTTTTTTATTTTTACATTTTTTTCCACAATTAAACTTATATGAAATGTATTCTTTGTTTTGTTTCTCATTTCTCAACCATTCAATCACAATGTGCCACAGCGAAGCATGGCAGGGAACAGCCAGTTTACTAAATTTCTAAGATATTTATTATATAAACATTAAAAAACCTGTGACTGGAAGGCTCAAGCTGGATAGAGTGGGTAACTGCCCATAGTATAAGGTCTTAGATATCCTTTTCAAAAATTCCTGGTGGTCTCCCATGCTCTACAAAAAATTTTTTTTACATTTATTGAATCAAGTAACATATTTGTATATTATATAAAGAGTAATTTGTAATGTCTATTGTCTTAACATTTAACATGAGTAAGTCAAGGTTTTAGGTTCTATTCTGGTACTTGATACCATAATAATTTTGCTTTGGGTTAATAACTATATAAGGGTTACCACATACTAGCCTAAAAATTTTAATGAAACAGATGCAGATTTTACCCTAGAGCCCTATTGGAGGGATAATGGTGCTTCCAACACTAGACCAATTCTGTGTGTAGAAATGGGACAAAAATATTTCGTATTGTGATTGACGTTACAATCTTTACTTACATCGTACATATATACTACGTCATTACAATTAAAATTTTTCCTTTATTAAAAGTAACTTAGGAAATACTTGTAACGTTAGTTACATGAAAACCTAGTAACTCTAACCATAAAGTTTCATTTTATTAATAACGATAAAATTATAAACGTGAAAAATTCTAGCTATATATACTAATTATTTCATATAAATACCGCGAACAGGCCACGACATACATTAATGACCTTATTATCTTACCTTTATATTGCCTCTTGACCCTTCTTTTCTTCTTTTAGATATACTAGACATTGTAAAGGTTACAATTCTCTTCTATCATTTAAATACGTAAATAAAAATAGTTAATTGAAATTTGAAACTCAACTTGCAAATTTAATTTTAAGGCAATCCGCAGGGCGCAGGCAGTAGGCGCTGGCAGCTATTACTACAGAGTTGAGTAGAGAAAAAGAGTATATTATAAACTATAATTTATACTCTAGTATGTTTATTACTTAATTTGTGTTTATCTGTAGTTTTTATTTTTATTTTATGGCCTGGCACGGTTTGTGCATTAGCCAGCGTCAAGTAGGTATAGGATTTTTATAAGTCGCTGTTTTAATTATTTACAGTTTATGAATAATAAAAACGAAGGAAACTAATCGCGACATAACATAGATGATTGAAAACGCATTAAATTTACAACAAAATCAGAATAGTTACATAAGGGGAAAAATAAATCAAAATTATAGTTTAATGTTATTATTTACAATAAATATACTTATAATACTATATACAAGGGGATTTAAATCTCGAAGAAGTAAAGAAATATTGGTAGGAAGGGGAACAGAGAGAGATACTAAAGAAGTGTATAAAGAAGCATGGTCATATTTAGGACAAGAAAAGAAAACATGATTCAGGTCAGAATAGCTCTCGCCACACTCACAGGCGGTACTAGTTACGATACCAAGTTTGTGCAAATGAACTGGAAGGCTGTTATGTCCCAGACGCATACGGATTATAGTAGAAGTGGTGGTTTTACCAAGCGACAATTTGGCAAACCATGGCTTCCTGGGAACGGAAGACTGTATAGCATACAAGAAACGACCCTTAATCCGGCCTTTCTCTTCCCAACACATATTCCACGATTTGTGGAGATATATGCCGGGCAAAGCAGCAAGATCATGGCCAAAATTCCTGTACGGGTGTACGTCACCGGTCTCAGTAGCACTGTTAGCCAAACTGTCAGCTTTTACATTTCCAGAGATACCACAGTGACTAGGTATCCAACAGAATGAAACTAAATAGTTGTGTAATTGGCAGTGCAACAGCTTTCTCTTACATTCAAATATTACATGAAAAAATGGGTTAAGTTTTAGTGAAAATTTTGCTAAGCTCTGTAAAGCACTTAAGGAATCGGTAAATATAACGGTTTTTTTGAGTTTGAAACATAACACATATTCAAGAGCTTTTAGTAGTCCAAAACATTCACCGGTAAAGACCGATGATTCCGGAGGTAATTTAATTTTCTGAACTATGTTGTATTGTTTGTGAAACACTCCAACACCAACACACCCATTGGAGTGTTTAGATGAATCTGTATACATTTGATGCCAGTTAGGCCATTTGCTATTGACATTGCAATTAAAAATTGCATTGGCATTAAAATCTGATTTTTTCAATGCCAAGAGAAAAGCAAATCTCTGGAGAAAGAAGAAGAGAATCATAAGAAGAGCTAAATAGGGGAAGTACATTAAAGGAATGAGTTGGGGCTTGTAATTGTTTGAATTTCAGGAAGCTTTTTAATAGACAAGGTAAAGGTTTATGTGAAGAGGGTAATTTTAGAGAAAGAGACTCCAGTTTGGAGATGAGGGGATGATGGAACTGGACAATTCTAAAAATGAATCTATCTGACAGATATTGACGTCTTAAGTTTAATGGAGGGTCACAACATTCTATTTGCAGAGCATTAACCGGGCTTGATTTCATGGCACCAGAAACAATCCTCAAAGCCCTAGACTGTATGAGGTCTAGTTTTCTAAAGCCAGCTACATTACCTGGATCTAAGAAAAAGGTCCCAAAATCCAGTACACTTCTAATTACAGCATTATACACCAACCTCAGTGTGGCCGGGTGAGCACCCCACCAAATTCCACTGAGACATCTCAGCATGTTCAAGTGTCGCTCACATTTACCAACTACAAATTCGCAGTGTGGTTGACCTGTTAGTTTAGAATCAAGTATAACTCCTAAGAACTTTACTTGATTATAAACGGGTAATATATGACGATCATATGTTATAGTAGGTGAGGGAGGAGTTCGGGATTTAGTGAAAAGTACAACGGAACTTTTTGAGGAGACAGATCTAGGCCATTTGCATCCATCCAGGATTTTAGCAAAGATAAAGAGGAGGAGACATGTTGTTCAGCAATACTTACCCACATATCAGAGGCATAAATAACTAAGTCATCGGCATATTGTAATAAACTAACTGAATCTCCGATTGAATCTTCTAGGTCATATGTATAAATATTGTACAATAAAGGGCTCAGAACAGACCCTTGTGGCAAGCCCCTCCATACCAGCCTACTAGGCATATAAGGGCCGCCAACATCTAAAATAATTTTCCTCTCCGAAAGAAGATTTACAATGAAATCAGTTAAAAAATAAGGAACCTTTAATTTATTTAATTTACTTTTTAGAATATGTAACAAAACGTTATCATAAGCCGAATTAATATCCAAGAAAGCAGCGACTACTGACTTTTTATCTGTGAAAGCATTACGAATGTCCGTAACTAATATGCCTAAATTGTCACATACACTTTTACCTTTTCGAAATCCAAACTGAGTTGGGGACAGATATTCGTTATTTTCTATATACCATTCAAGCCGATTTTTAATTAAATGTTCAACAACTTTTGTTATCACCGATGACAAGACAATCGGACGATATGATTTAATATCAGATTGTACCTTAGACGGTTTTAAAAATGGCAGCACTATTTGACTTCGCCAAGATGGCGGTATGTCATTTGTCAATAGAACTTTATTTATTAAATTTAAAAAGAAATTTAATCCATTTTCACCAAGGTGAGACAGAAATGAATATGGGATCCCATCTTCCCCAGGTGCACTGTCTTTGACGTAATTTAATACACCTTTTAATTCCACTAACGTGAAAGGTAGATTTAGAGAGGAAGGGGCGGCATCAGAGTTATTTTGTTTAGAAGAGTGGATAAAATCTCTAAGTGGAGCAGAAGGAGGAGCCAAGCGATCAAGGAATTGATCAGCTAACTCTATAGGAAGTAACGACGTGTTAGAAGGATTGACAGCTGACCTAAATCTTTTGATATTTCGCCAAATGACAGTTGCATGTGTTCCAGGTGATAAGGTGCTACAATATTTCCTCCACCCCTCAGATTTCTTTTTTTTAAATAGCTTTTTAACTTCTTTCATCACAGTCATTAAGGTCTCGTAGTTTTCCATAGACATATCATTGCGATAATTATGCTCAGCTGCCTTGCGTTTTTTAATACTTGTGGTACATTCTTCATCCCACCATGGTGGAGATGGCAACTTATTACTAGGCGGCTTTTTCTTTGGAAAAACATTATCAGCCGATTCTAATAAAACAGTTTTGAAATAATTACTATCTGTGACATTAATTTCTGAGCAACTATTAATTTTCTCTTCTACTAATAAAGTGTATTGACTCCATTTAGAGTCAATGATTTTGTGTTTGAGGCGAGAGTTATGAATAAACATGTTACTATTTTTTTTACAGGGAAATGAAATGATTATTGGATAATGATCACTATTGTAAGATGAACACAAAGTAGACCAAGATAGAGAAGATGCTAAATTGGGAGTACAAATGGACAGGTCAATGGCACTAATTGCTTCACCAGGTTTTGTGAGGCGAGTAGGAGAACCTGAGTTTAAAATGCACAGGTTATACATGTCTAAGATATCCAATAATGCATACCCATAACTATTAGAAACCGAGCTACCCCAAGATGTGTGATGAGAGTTGAAATCACCCAGAATCATGAAAGGCTGAGGAAGCACTGAAATTAAGTTTTTAATTTCATTGAAAATTTGCAAGGAGGGGTGAGGGACATAGATAGAGACAAAACAGATATCATCAACAATAGCTGCAATGATAGAAAAGCTGTCACTATGTGAAGGAAGAGGGAAGGAAGAAAAGGTGCTAGAGTTTCTGATGAGCAGGCATACACCACCATACCCATCAGCCCTGTCTTCTCTTAAGCATAAATAACCAGGGATTTTAAATACATGATCTGGCTTTAACCAGGTTTCAGATAGAGAAAAAATAAAAGGATTAAAAGTATTTATAATATGTATAATTTCATGTTTTTTGTTTATTATACTGCGGCAGTTCCATTGAAGTAGCCTGTCCATGTTGGCCATTATTAATATTAGTGTATGTATGAATTAAATTAGCAGCGTGGGACGGTATAGATAAATTGGGTTGTGAAAGTAATTTGATTAGTGTAGTAATTAGCTCTGCTATTGTCTGTGAGTTTACATTAGAGGATGATGGATATGCACAACCATTAGATGGCTCTGGCATATTATAGTCTCTTACAAGAGACTCATGTGCAACATGATCGTAACCTTTACTTTGTTGAGGAGGGGTTCTAGGTTTAGTAAAAACAGTTTTTTTGTAAGATAGTGTACGTGGAGGTGGTGAACCAGACAATACTGTACCAGGAAGAGATTGAGTTGGGATAGAGGATACTATATCTGCAAATGACTTAGATATGGGGGGATGTAGTTTTGATGCTTCAACATAAGACAAGCTATTCTCTGCCATTGATAGTTTAATGTTGGTTTGTCTCACATACTCTGGGCACTTTTTGCTTGAAGCAAAGTGCAGCCCAGAGCATGAGCAGCAAGAACCGTGGTCTTCCTCCACATTACAAGTATTTCCAGTGTGGCCCTGACCACACTTGTAACACCTAGGCTTTGACCTGCATTGGACCTTAGTGTGCCCAAAGCGGCAGCAATTAAAACATTGAATAGTCGGATATATATATAAATTAACGGGCATAGAGTTGTAACACATAAATACACGTTTAGGCAAAACTTGTCCATCAAATGTAAACACAACTGTTTGCGAAGGTTTCCATGTAGGTGTGTTGTTTACCATGACTTTATAGTTAAGTCGCCTAAGTTTCAAAATTTCTCCACACCCAATGGGTACGTTAGTGTTCTCCATAATATCCTCAGGAGACCACTCAGTTGGGACTCCCTTAACTAAACCCATCCTTGTAATATTAAAAGTTGGGA